TAATAATGAAAAGTGCAAATGAAGACAATTTAATACTTTTAATTTTATTTCATTATTTGTTATTAGAAAACGTAAGGTAATAACAATCTAAAATGATTATAATGTAATGTGATGCAAGAACATGTTTAACTTTTATTCAAATAGCACAGGTATATAGAGCCTAAACTTTAGGTTACTATATAATTTCAGTATCTTAAAAACACCTAAAAATTAAACATTTAACATATTTTAAAGTTTCCTGAATCTGTTTTTGAAATATTTAGGATTTTTGCTCCACAATTACCAAGTTAAATCCTCTGGAATTGACAAACAAAACGACTGTCAAGAAAATATATTACATCAGTAAATGTTTAATCGAGTGATTATAGAGATCTACTGTGATGTGTTGTCATAGCAACAAAACAATCAGATCACTTGGAAGGGCAAAATAAAAAAGATCACCATATCTTTTTTCTAACCCTAACCTAACCTAAAACTGAAAGAGTGACTTTAACTGGTTGACTCATCTGGTCAAATAAAGGTTAAATAAATAAAAATAAACTCAGTTTGGAGAAGCAGCCTGTGGAAGAGCTATCGAGTGTGGTTTCTGGAACTTGTTTTTCTAAATCTAATTAATCCTCCTTCCATGACGGAGGCTGTCACAACACATCACCAGTCCTAATGTAGCAGTTTTTTTAATTAGACACAGTGCTGCATCATTTCAATCTGCTGGCAAAATGTACACACTCAGATAAAATCAGCATCTCACACACACACACACACACACACACACACACACACACACACACACACACACACACACACACACACACACACACACACACACACACACACACTCACATGCGTTTGGCACTCAGAGGCTTTAAATCAGCTTCAGAGCAACACTAAATTCAGTTTTTAAAGGCGAGGATAAACTGTTTTGTACTTGAATGCTTTTGTGCCTTTTATTTTAACCAGATTTATTATACTCAATGAGCAGATTTCAACATTAAAAAGTTAGAGAAGCAGTTCCAAATCTGAGTTTTACTATTGTGTAGTATGACTACAGGAAACCCCATCAGACGCCAGCAGCCTGAAGACAAATAGATGCCTTAGTTCCGGGAGTCTGAACGCTGGACAGTAAAATCCCTTCAGGCTGCTAAATAATTGGGTGTTTGGCGTTTGTGTCTTATTTCTATAGTTGGAACATATTGTGTAGCACAGTAATAAATTGTCCTGTTACATAACCTGACACTGCAGTTATTTCAGTGGATGTGCTTTCTGTTTTTAATCTCTGTGCTTTTAATAAGTGAGGTCTGACGGGGAAAAGAATTTTCTCATTAAAGGGAGCGTTATGTATAGTAAGTCTGGCTGTGAGCAGAAAAAGGGCACACAAAAAAAATCAAAACTCTACTGAGCTTGTGTTCAATCCTGAATATTTTAGAGGCTTCATTCTCTGCTCCAACACACCTGGCTTTAATCAGTGGGTCATAGGGAGCCTGAGTTTCCTCCTGTTCTGGTCGGCTCTTGGGTCCCCAGCAGAAAGAATGAATGAATGCAAGTCAACGGGGCTAAAAGAGCTGTTTTCTACTCCGCTTTATCTTACGCCCTGGATCGCAAATATGTCGCTCTTCAATTTAAATGAAAAGTCATGATGTGTGTTTCGACCACGCCTGTCATGTACTTAGAGATTTATCAGCTTGTAAAAGTTTGTTATTAGCATGACTACAAATCTAATGTCGATGCGTCACATAGATGACATCACCACAGATTCTCCTCTCTCCTAGCGTAGCTGCTACTTACCACGTGGCCACATTTATGGTGATTCTTCCCCAGAGATGGAAATTATGGCATCAACAGGTCAACTCCATGCAGTGATTTTGTTCTGCTCGGCAGCTAAGCAAGGTTCATTCACTGTGCTGATTCAAATCACCTGGTTTATTTGCTGAACTGAAGAAAAACACGGCATGGAGATGCAATTCCCCATCTCTTTTCTTTCCTCCTGAAGGAAGGATTAGAAGTTTGCTGAACTTACAGCCGTTTCCCTCTTGATTTTCTCCATGTCTGGTTCAATGACGTCACTTTGGTGATGCACATTTGCAGTTCTGGCCGTATTTTCACACAAAACCAAAAATACCGTTTCTCCCCCCGTTTGAAAATAAGCGTGTTCTTGTGTCTTTAAAGTTCACAGACACCATATGTGAAATCTACGGCACATAATAAGCGGAATATGAAAACAGCGTTTTTAGCCCCATTGACTTGCATTCATTTTTTTCGTTCTTCTTGGAACCCATGGTCCAAAAGTAGAAGGGCGTGACTTAGGCTTAGGGATGGGTACCTTTGACATTTGAATCGATTCGGCACTAATTCCCGGTACCTAGGAATCGATACCAGTACTTAACGGTACCAATTTTCGATACTTTTGAGTGTTTAATATTTTAATTCACTTTTTTAATTAAATATATATTTTTCTTAATATGTAAACATATTTGATAAATTTCACGATAAATAACATAAAACTGTTTGTATTTTAACATTGTCCTTGTAGTTTTATAAGCTGATAATTAAACAGAAGCAAACATCTGTACTGTGAACTAAATTTACTGTGTATCTTCATTCCTTTTGCCGTCCTTTTTCTTTGATTTTTCCTACTGGGAAGTTAGAATTTCCGAGGAGAAAGCGAGCGCACCATTAGCTGATAACAATGGTGGCAATGGAAGCTAACATATCAAGCTAACGTTATGTTAAACAGTTTATTTAGCTGCTGGAGCAGATTAAAACGATGATGCCTCACACTTAGATCGTTGTCACTTGTTTCATCTTCACCCAATCACCCGTCGCATTTAGTAAAGTGAAGCCAAACTTTAGCGTGCGTTCTTTCTACCATGCTGCTCTGTTTACAACTGGCTCGCAGCGACCGACGACATAACGCTCTTGCGCATGCGCAGCTGTCCTGGCAAGTTCTCGTTACAAAGGACGGGTACCGAAACGAGGCACCGTTTGAAATGACGTGAATCGGTGCTCGGTCGGTACTATGGAATTTGGTCGGTACCTTAAAAAGTACCGAATTCGGTACCCATCCCTACAAGTTAGGCTCCCAGTTAACAAGTTTCTGCAGGGGTCTGTGGCTTGCTCAGCAGGTAATTCAACCACTAAATCTTGTTATCTGGAGCAGGGAAACAACTGAAACATGCAGGACATGTGGCCTTCAAGGACCAGTGCTGGACAGCACTTCTGTCAATCTTAAGATTCAGGGAAAAAAATGCTGTTTCACCACTTTAATAATGCCAAGAAACCTGACTCCTCTCTTGTGATTGTTTTAGATATATGATGATCACAAGCGTCATTTCACGGTGGAGTCCAACGATGCTACAGAGCTGGTAAGGACAGCTGCTGAGAACATAGAGGAGCTCCTGGCAAATCGTACTAAAGCCCTAAAGGTGAGTAGAGTGGACCTGGGGCCATCCAGGTTGGCTTGAAATGTGCTTGTTTGTCACAGTGTCACAGGTGTTGTGCCCCAAAAGGTGGCAGAGTTTTTGTTGCAGATTGTCTATTGTTTGTGCCATTTGCCCCAGTATCTGTCTATCTCTCTCACAACCAGGGCACGAGTCCAGGAAAAAACACAAGCACGATCTGCTTTTTCTCATTTCACATCAGAACAGACACTGGAACGGAGCCACGGCTTCAGGCTGTGCACTGATCAAACATCATCAGACATCCTCCAGATACATTACTCCATTTAAAGAATCCAGACTGCTGGATTTTAAAAACACCTTCTGCTATTATGCATTCCCGTGTGAGTTTTCAATTTTCAGCAAAACAAAGACAATCTGGGTTAAATTATTTATTTATTTACTTGTTTATTATGTGAAGAGGCCACAGCTGAGCTGGAAGAAGTGCCTTGTTGTAATAGATCAAATGATTGGAAAATCTTAAGGTTTTCTCATTTCCCTCATATAAATAAAATAGAATCACATGACAGGATAGTGAGTCCAAAAATAGAAATAGAATAACTTTCACTGATCAATTCTATTATGTACATTTTAAATGAGCAAACTATTCACCTTTTCATTTTCACTGATGAACCCCATGAATTAATTAAATGTGTATTGGATGCTCTATACAGTTATAATAAACTACATTTTATAACTTAAAGAGCAAGTCACCCTCAAATCAACTTTTTTTGTTGATAAACTATATAAATGAGTGTCTAAGTGCTCCGTAGACACGTTCAGTCAATAATATGGCACTTTAGTTAATCTTAGTTAAAATTTAAATAATCTGCCTAAAACTGTCAGCGATGCACCGTCGTCAGGCAAAAACTCAGGACTGCATTTGAATTTAAATCTGCCATCGCTATTGGCTAAGAGGTACACTATGATGTTAGATGGTACATTATGATGTCACAATGTCGTGAGTGTGTGTATTTGTTAGTGGCTCCGCGCTCTCGGTCTGCTAGGCAACAGCATTTGTTGCATTTTTCAAACAGGAAGTGGGAGTTGAGTAAGAATCTGGCAGGGGGTGACTTGCTCTTTAATTAAGTATGGTGATGTGTAAACCCAAAATTCCACTATCTCTGCTCCGCTCCGGCACGAACTCCACAGCAAAAACGGTCCCATTGTAGTCAATCAGGGCTGTACCACTACTGCGCCGAACGTCGGAGCACCTCCGCAGTCAATGGACAGAAATCACAACCGCCCAACAGGAAAGGGAGCAAGCACAACTTCCGTTAATTCACAATAAATCGATACACAAAAAGCATTTTTTTGTTTCACATGCACAGGTTTAACAACTTTTAACAGCTATCAATGGCGGTTGAACTTTGAATGCACAAAAATAAGCCATAAATACAGTTTCCACTATCAAAGCAGTCACCCTTTGTTGATCCAAACACTGCTGATCTCTCAACACAAATGATGGGCAGATTAAACAGTTCATTTCGATGCTTCTCCCACACAACGGGTGTTTGGATCTATTTTCCGCATTTATTGCTCGGACTGTATCGCAACATCTCGAAAATCCCGCGCATGCCTGTTTGCGCACCTCAGGTCTCCGCACCGGAGCGGAGCCGTTGTAGAGCGGGTGCAGTATAATTTGAGTTCGGAAGCGAGCGGCAGCAGAAAGCGGGGGCGGAGCGGAGCAGAGATGGTGGAATTTTGGGGTAAGACTTTTAAAAGCCAAAATAACAAGAAAAGACCTTTAAAAAGACAATGTGTAGTTTGTACCTGTAATCTCATGAAATATTCATTGAAATGTTGTTGGAAATGAATTAAATTATCCCCATTTGTTGAAAAATATTTGCGGCTTTGTAACATATAACCATAAAAATTGGGTCTAATGGGAGTGGGTGTAAGTCTCTGGGCGACGCCATATTAGACGCAATGTGTCCGTCTGCATGAGCCCATGAGGACAAAATGCATTAACTAATTTATAATAAACGGTTTCAAAGCTTTAGCCGTTCGTGAACATAGTTTTACACATTTACCTCTCCACTCGTTGCCAGTGATGTGTCATGTTGTGGGTGTGGATGACGGCGGACCATGTGTGGCAGAGCTGACCAGGAGGTAAAAAATGCAGGCTTCAGTAAAAGTAAAAATGGTTTTAATGGAGGACTGGGAACAACAGGAACAAAACACAAGGACTACAAGCAACAATGATCTGACCAAGGACAGGAGCAAAACAGGTGGTATAAATACAGAAGGCTAATTAGGGAAACATGGGCAGGTTAACGAGGGACAGGTGAGAACAATACGGACTAATCAGGGCAGGAGAGAAACACAGTCAGGAGGGCAGGGGCAGAACGTGACAGTACCCCCCCCCCCCCCCCCCCAAGGGCGGATACCAGACGCCCACAAGGCTACACAACACAAGAGACCGGAAACACTCGACTAGACTGGGGACAGGACTGGACACACTCGACTAGACAGGGGACAGGACTGGACACACTCGACTTGAGACTGGAACAGGAAACACTCGACTTGAGACTGGAACAGGACACTTGACTTGAGACTGGAACAGGACACTTGACTTGAGACTGGAACAGGAACACTGCAGGAGCAGGCGTGGGACCCAGGCAGAGAACTGCAGGAGCAGGTGTGGGACCCAGGCAGAGAACTGCAGGAGCAGGCGTGGGACCCAGGCAAAGAACTGCAGGAGCAGGCGTGGGGCCCAGGCAGAGAACTGCAGGAGCAGGCGTGGGGCCCAGGCAGAGAACTGCAGGAGCAGGCGTGGGACCCAGGCAAAGAACTGCAGGAGCAGGCGTGGGACCCAGGCAGAGAACTGCAGGAGCAGGCGTGGGGCCCAGGCAGAGAACTGCAGGAGCAGGCGTGGGACCCAGCGGAGAACTGCAGGAGCAGGCGTAGGACCCAGCGGAGAACTGCAGCGGCAGGCGTAGGACCCAGCGGAGAACTGCAGCGGCAGGCATGGGACCCAGCAGAGGCTGGAGCAGCATGAGACCTGCAGGCATAAGCCCCACCAGCGTGGACAGGGAAATGGACAGTCTGTAGGAGCGACGCGAGGAAACCAGGATCGGCGGCAGGCACTCGACAACCGGTCAGAGCAGGTGCACAGCACGATTGCTGGGTTTCAGGCAGAGGCTTGGGTGCAGGGAAGCAGGAGAAGAGCGGGGAGACCAGCCCTACCACCCCGGAGAACAATGGAGTGCGTAGGGGGTGTACCTCCCTTGAAGCTCCAGGATCCATGGCTTCCATGAGAAGAACGGGACGGGGGCAGAAAGCAGGAGAGGAGAAGGAATTCGACCACCCCGGGAACGAGTAGGATGCGCCGAACCCCCTCAATGGTTTGACCACCCCGGAGAACAGGTAGGATGCGCCAAACACACTGAGTCCGAATCTCCCTCCGCTAAAGGAGAAAAAGTAAAAAAAAAAATCCTCCAGGGAGATGTAACAAAGCTCACCACAGGTCCAGGTTGTGGTCAGATCATTCTGTCGCATTGTCGGTGTGGATGACGGCGGACCATGTGTGGCAGAGCTGACCAGGAGGTAAAAAATACAGGCTTCAGTAAAAGTAAAAATGGTTTTAATGGAGGACTGGGAATGACAGGAACAAAACACAAGGACTACAAGCAACAATGATCTGACCAAGGACAGGAGCAAAACAGGTGGTATAAATACAGAAGGCTAATTAGGGAAACATGGGCAGGTTAACGAGGGACAGGTGAGAACAATACGGACTAATCAGGGCAGGAGAGAAACACAGTCAGGAGGGCAGGGGCAGAACGTGACATGATGAAAGGGATTCTGCTGTGCTTGTCATTTTGCTGGAGGTTGAACCATCTGACGAAGTACTCGTTGGAAAATTACGCTCCCAGGGATTTTTGACCCTAATGGCCATTGGTAAGGTCTTACTCAAACACAAACATGCTGCTTGCTTGCAATGATTTAGGTGTGTACTCTCTATCGACAGGTAAAATACACACCGTCACTTTAACAGATTGAATTCAGCATGTCAACGGGATCGCTGTTTTTCTTCATCTGTTTTTTATTTTCTTCTTTTGCATTTAGTCACAAAAAGCAACAGGCAGGCTCTCTCTGCGTTGTGGTTCAACAGTATCTTGCCAACTAAATTAGGATCTTGGGTCCCGAAGGATCTTGGCTCCCAGTCTCAATCAATCCCACTCAGGGGGGCCAGAAAAATATCCAATTAAAACCTGACAGCCTGTTGCCATAGTTACAGTCTCAATGATTGCCACATCAATCCAGGCAGGCATCCCAGTAATTGCCATGGGATGCGGGACAATTAGGTTTTGGGGGTTGTGTTGCAAAAGAACAGAGATGTTAGGAGACCTCAGGCCCTCTTAATTTATTCCATCAGCACCATCTGCTTTGTACCTTCCATCTGACCAAACTAACGACAGAATTTAATATATTTTAAAAATGTTCTCTCTGTTCTCTTGTCCCGCATTTAGCCATCATTGCATCAAAAGAGATGCCCTGTGGCAGAATTCCTTTTTAAATAATCCATTTTGGAGCTCGAACCCTACTCTGTGTTTACCTTTGGTTCCATTTAGGAATGAAGTACTCTGGGTGTATTGATCATGTAAGAGGACATAGCCATCTGTCTGAAAGAAAGAAATTGAATCAGCTGATGTGTGTTAGAGAGTATAAAAGAGTGCATCGTGTGGTATGCTTCCTACCAGTCAATGTGCAAAAGAAAAGAGGCCACCTTCCATTTGGATGTTGTTCTTTTGGCACACAACTCAACAGGTTTTGCTCTGCTGTCAGCTTGAACCTCCAAAGCCATTGACGCACATGGCTTTATTAGAAAATGAAGCTCTAACCTGCGCTGAATTTCTTCTGCATCCTGATGAAACACGTTGCTTTTATGACGTGTCTCAGGTAGGGATGCACCGATACGATACTGGTATCGGTATCGGCACCAATACCAATACCAGTATCGGTGTCGGTAAAAGTTAACCGAT